TGGAAACCCAATAGGTATGTACCACGTATTTCCACTGTTTGACTTTTAAATCTCTCGCAGAAGGCGAAAGTGATTTCATTGGAAAGACAGCAAAGATAGAAACCCCAACTTTAGCCAGCGATTACTCTTAGTTAAGCCTCCCACGGAGGTTCACACGCTCTTTTTGAAATAATCACGTTTTATTGTCCTTGAGTACCTCTAAGATGAGAATAAAAAACACGAATTTTCGAGCTTTGGCGACTGTGGGGCGGAAACCGAAGATCAGGAGAATTAAAAAGCATGGCGGTTTCCTAACTGCGGTGCATATGAAGACCAATCGAAGGATGGCGCTGGATTGAGAAGGTCGGAATTCCATTTTCGAGGTTTGCACTGTGTTTAGGGCCGTGTTCATCGACATTGCAGCATGTAATTTCTTGGAATTTTTCCGGAAATATCCCGGGTTTTTGGGTTTAGGATATTCTAATTCCTCGAGTGAATCCGAAAAGCAGGAATTCATCCTTTCTCTCCTTTTTTTTTGTTTACTGTAGAATGGGGATTGAGGAATGTCGGACTTTGCACCAGGAAATCTCTACAGTGGAAAATTGTATTTATCTCATATCTGAAAAGGGGTGAAAAAAATTGCTTTTCTAGGAAGGAAAATTTGCTCCATCGTCCGCTTGTCCAATCGTCAACTACGGTAATTTCTTTATTTATTATAAAACGACGGTTCAGTTGCGGCTCGGATCCAGCGGAGCCAAGAGCAGCCATCCTCTGCGTGTACAAGAGATGTCACCGCCATGGATCGATAGCTTCTTATGCATTCTGAGCCTTATCCGAGCAGAATCACCCTACATGGAGCCCTCGACTTTTAGAATGAGTGCTTCCTCGAATGGCACTGCGGGCATCCGATCATAGGATTTCCACAGTTTCTTTTTTTTATTCCAGCAAATCTCTCATCTTAGGTTGAAATTCAGTAACTTTAATCATTACAATGAGATCATAACTGGACCAGTGCATGCTCATGCATACAGTTTGACATTACGATCACGAAGCGACGTGTCAGTCTGTCCTTGGGCATCTATTCAACGTTAAGGAACTTCCAAGGGCAACTTCTCACGTTCTAGCGGTGCGCAAAGTTTTCAGGTCGCGCCCCCACTATTCCCCCTCCACCGAACCCGTTCATCAGAGAGGAAGAAAAATATTCTCGGTCTTCCCTCCCTCTCCTACCTTTCCGCTCTCCCTTTCCTCCCTCTACTTCCTGTCTCCGATTCCAATCGTTTTTTCTTCTTCCCGTCTTCCATATAGTCAGTCCCACCACATCCATAATTTGAACGCGATGAGAAATTGGAAGAAATCGGAAGCCCGTGCGGTTCGCCACCTCTTCCGTTCCACGCCTCGACGACCTGTATTGTCCTGCACTCGTCTCAATCCAATGGGACATTCCCCCTTCAAAAATTTTGCCGATGCGTCGCGATGGTCGAAGAAACTGTCGATATCTTGAACCATCGATAGTGGTATCGAAGCATCGACTTATTGCGACGGCCTTACCTTTATAGTTACTAGCAAAAGTCCATAAACTAATTGAATTATTCTTTGCACGAGTAGTTTGATAATAATGTAATACTTATTTAATTATTGATCTACTCGCGATATTGCAAGTGGGAATCAGACATATTATATTAAAACGAAATCCTCGCATAACACGATTATTGTTCTCATGCTCATTAATTTTAAATAATCAATTCGAAAAATCGATCGATTTTTCTGTGGAATTTCCTTGGTTTGTCTCTTCTTCTTCTTCTTCCTTTTCTTCCCTTTCAATTTAATTTAGAACCCGAAAACCTCCTAGTTATACGAAAAAAGGTAAAGGCCACATTTTTTGAAACCAGGATTTTTAAGTTCGATTGTACGAAAAGTCATAAATCCAGATAAAACGGAAAAAATTCTAATCCAGCTCTGGTCAGCCCATGCAATACGAATGAGCATCACTTCCTCGACTTGTGAAAGGAATTTAAGAAAGAGGAGAGATATTCGATTCTGTACATATCCTGTATGGTTTCTGATGCATTCCTCATTCGGCGTATTTCTCCTTCATGTGATCGCGTCGACCTGCCATGCACTCTCAGTGGCTTCGTCGGTTACGACCGAGATCCCGGCGTGCGATCCACTCCATGCATTCCACAGTCAACTGATTTGAATCGTTATCGCAGTAAAGCGTCTGCCAAGAGGGAGAATGGCTTGTCTTGAATAGAAGCAACAAGGAACCAGAATGTCAAAACCGGACTTGTGACTGGTTCGAGCTTTCCATTTCTTCCGATCCTGACCTCTGTGTCTCTATCCTTTTCCCCGGAGAACAGAGGCCCGAACCAGATCCTTGTCGCAGATGAATTCGGCCTCGGAATATGCGAATGTGTGAATCCTGATGTGAATCCGAGAAAGGTTTCGTCTACTGCCCCCCAGACGGCATCTGCCACCGATTGTTCAATCGAGGCCCATGCGAATCCGGCAACGTCTCCCTCTTCGACAACCGAAACGGAACGGCCAATTGGGGTCGGAGAGACCCCTCTTAGATCTGCCCAGAAACGCGTTTTTGGGGGGTGGAACGCCTCGCACTTTCGTGTATGCCGTGTAAGTAGACAGGGCGGGGAAGCGCGCCTTTTGCATGGGAAACCGGGCAAGACCGTCATCATCAACATTTAAATCATCAACTTTCGGTCACGTACCGTCTGCTACCGTCTGCTAATCGTCCCGAAACACTGAAAAAATGTTAGCAAAGTTCCGACTTCCGACCACATGCGCCTCGCTCTAACGGCTCCCAATTTTTCCTTCAAACTTACAACCGTTCTATGGATGGCGAATAAACTTTTGTGTTCACAACTTTTGACAACTGTTGTCTGAAGAAACTGCGCATAATTTGAACGAGCCATTTCCATTCTCCAAAAGAAGTGACACGATTAGGCCGGATTTGGCGACACTATACGCCCCTCTCTAATCTCTCGAGGTCTATTCTAACGCTACGTCATACGACACAATCTTGCTATCCATCGTGCGACCGAAAGGATCAACTGGCAGCAATACATTTTGTACACGGTAGTATGATTGCGGCTGGCAAAGCATGCTGCTTAGCGTAATATCGAGTAATACATAGAATAAGTCACCCTTGTGCAAGTGAATGTGTTGGCGAATGGCGGCTAGCGACGGTGGTGCTATAACGGGGGAGCGCCTATGGTAGGCCTACGGGGAATATTCGTTCTCAGGAAAGAGTTGGCAATGAGCGAGAGCGACAGTGTATATCGAGGGTCGACTGTATTTAAGACTGTCAACTCCAGAATTAGAACTCTTTTGGAGGGTCGCCCAATCCAGCCGGAACGCAATCGCCAGAGGAAAGGCAGGAAAAACCTCAGGAAAGTTAACCCTTTTCCCTGCCATTTGCCATTTGGAAAAGGACATCGGATGGATACATAATCTCCAGGTGCAAGATGCAAAAAAATGCATACGTGGACCATGGAGCATACATAAAAACAAGCGTTTACAAGAGGACATCCAGTTGCTTAGCTTCCAGTCTTCCACAAGCATCGCGTGTCACTGCACGACCTAGTGATTCTTCACTTCTCAGTGTGCGTTTGTGATTTTCATAGAGGCTGCTGCATTTTCCATTGCTTCATGCACGATTGACTCAGGTTTCTTTACATCCATTTCTGCAGAACTAGACCGCATCTTAAGGACATTCAAATGACTCGTGGTCCAGTCTCAAAATAGTGCTGAGTTTGAATGCGTATCGTATTCGTGATTGCCTTTTGAACTAGGTCTCATGATTATCATATTGGGACTGAAATAAGATTCGATGAATCACATGAAATACGAAGGAACATCACTATTCAACTTGTTACGCGGCGAATATAAGCAAGGGGAGAGACGTCTGATTCTGTAAATTCCTGTCGTTAAAGACTTCCCAATACAGTTTCAGATGCATTCAGATCCTCATTCGGTGTATTTCCCCTTCATGTAATCACCTCGACTTGTTTTGCACTCCCTGTGACTCCATGATCGACTTTACGTCAGGAAATATCTATAGTAGAAAGGCACATATTCGTATAATTCTTCAATAAAGAAAAAGGTAAAATCCACCTTATTTTTTACAAGTAAATCAATTTCTTATTCATCCTCTTGTATAGTCGTCAAGTACTGCTGATTCCAGCCCTTACCGCTGACTCAACCATAATGAACAGAGAGAGAGGGAGAGAGAAATCGGCTGCTCTAGCGTAGAAAGGGTTGTTAGTCAGCCTACTTAAATGCCACATCTGGCATCCGGGTTTATCTCTCCTTGCGCGTGGAGGAAAACATCGCTTAGGATGGAAGCACGACCTCTAAGCTGATAGGTGAATAAAGCACGCTACGCAGTAGCCTGCAAGGAGGATATTCACAAGTAAATATCGGAGGCCGGCGTCGCAATGATATGTATCACGAGTCAATCCACGCTCGAGTGCTGTTTTTATGAGCAGAACTTCATCAGAAGTAAGAAATTGAATTAAACAAGAAGCAGTCTTATAGTGGGACATTCCGAGACCCTAAAGGCTGGAGGTAACAGACTCCTGATATTTCAAGCCGAAATTTCTCATCAGATGGACTGGTCTTATGAAAGTTCAGTTGCATCATGGTTTCAGGTTCAGGTCAGATGTTGTTACAGTGGTTTCAAAATAATCAATATAAGCACATTGGAACTTCAGTCTGATCAAAATCTAAAATTATAACACAACTGAGCCGCATTTGAACTCCCGTTTTGAAATCGGCCTAAGTATGGAGATGCAACAATATTCCCAAATTTTTCCTGGTCCCATATTTTTCCCCTCTCCCTCATTACTCAATCCTTGTGCATCTCACATCAAACTGGATTCAGCCATTTTCCTGTCTCGAATATGATACAATGGATGGATGCACCATCTCTAAGTTATCAGACAAAGAAATAAATTCATGAAGAGAGTGGAGCATACATACGAGCAGAGGAGAGGCCATTCAGTCGCAGTGCGTCCGGTTCTCCTTCCACATCCCGTGGGACTACGCAACCGAGTGCTTCTTCATTTCTTGATGTGAGTTAGTGGTTTTCGTTGCATTTTCCATTGTATTTTCCATTGCTGGATGTATGCTTCACTCGAATTACATTTTCACATCTCACTTTATTTTATTTTTCTGCAGAATTGTACGGCATCGTAAGGACATTGAAATTCCAGCAGCAGACTGAAAGTGGTAATTAGTTTGAATACGTAAATGTTATTGCATTATGAATTAAGTTTTGAGATTATTCTTCGTATGAGATATGAAATGAGAATCTGGAAATCATCGTGGTCGAGAGCTGGTTGCCCAATAATTCCTCATCAGTTCATCACGCATGAATGAGTGAATCATCCATCCCTGAGACCACTTGCTCCACCAAGTTCAACCAGTAACGAAAGACCATTGGAGATCCAAAAGTTCACGGCTATTAGAGTTGTTCTTCCATTGCCAATCGCAACTTCTGTCAGATCGAGGCAATGTCTGGAGTAAAGGGAAAGGGAATGGGAACGGGATAATGAGAGAGGGAATAGCACATTTCCAGAGATTTGAAATAATGGTTCTGAGCAAAGGGCTTTACACACTAAGCGTTTCCCTATGCCAATGCGTGAATGCTTAGACAGGCAGGCAGATGCATGCATGCAAACGCATATCCGCTTACATCAAAGGGTTGTCACAAAACGCAAGGTTGGCGGTTTCGATTGAACTCATCCAATTACCACACGCGGGCCTTACGTATGGTGAACATCGGTGGACATTTGATTCACCGAGCGCACGTGATGCAGGACAGGTCACGATCGGCTTACAGTTACATCACTTAAATAGCCATAGAAGAAAGTCACATCCGTTCCGTTAGTTCATGTAGCCTCTCATTTCAAACTATTTTTGGTTGTCGAGCTCGGAGATATGAAATCAGGCGACGACCTTCTAGTTTCTTGGCAAGTCACGTGTTTCCATTAGACTTCATATGCTTTTTCCGTTTGATTACAGATGCTTTCCTCATTAGGCTCGATTCTATCAATACTTCCTCTGCTTGCCTCCACCTTCCATGCACATCCTACGACTCCCGCAGATACAATCGAGATCAGCGCGTGCGATCCCTCCTGGGCCTTCCACCGCCCGTCCAACCGATGTCAGCCGCTTTTACAGCAAAGCGTCTGCGAAGAGGGCAAATGGCTCGTCTTGAACAAGAGCACCAAGGAGCCGGAATGCCGAAAGCGGCCTTGTGAGGAGTCCCAACTTCCTCTTTATTCCGATCCAGACATCTGCGTCCCCATCTACAATCCCGGAAAACACTGCGGTCTTAATCAGTTCCTGGTCGCAGATCGATTCGGTTTCGGGCATTGCGAGTGTAAAAACGAGCCAGGTTACATCTACTGGCCCCCAGACGACAATTGTTACCGAGTGTTCCATAGAGGCCCCTGCGACCCCGGAAACATCTTCATTTTCGACAGCCGAAATGGAACCACAGTCTGCAAATGGAATCCCTGTCCCGACGACCAGATCTACTGGCTCTCTCTCGGTGAATGCGTCTCGGAAAACGACCCCACCCTGTGTCCTCCATTCATGCCCTTGACCTATGACCGCCTCCCTGACCACCAATTCACCCTCGCTTGTCTGCCACTTAAACAATATTTCGCGATCGGCTCCTACACCTTTCGGAAGTGCGAACCCGGCAGCATCAGCGAGAAGCAGGGCAAATGCGGAGACGAAATCTCCTTCAATCTGTGCCCATCGGGGAAAGAAGAAGACTTGTTTGGTGGATGCCGAGAATCCTCGGGATGAAATTCCTTTAATGAGATCAAGTATCTTCCAGAAATTCTTTGAAAACCTGTATGTACCATGAAATGCCATTGAAATTTGTTGTCAGTTTCAGTCGTACTCTTCATGTGGTCACAGAAATGTGAGGATTTGATTTTCGTCATTATCCTGCAAATTCTTTCTTGCATTTTCCCACCATTTCTCCTCGTTGCTCTTGCATTTTAAAGCTTTTCAAATTCTAAAACCCACATTGATAATTTCTTCAATTTCTTACTGGTGACGGAACTTTTGTTGTCATGCATATTATTTCATAATTTAAACTCATCACATTATCCCGAATTCTTTTCGGTTTTGAATGTCGCAAATTAAGCCAGTTCGACTTTTTGTATTTTCCGCATTTTTTCTCACTATCTTCCCCTGGTATTATTGCATCTCAGCCGATGAATTTAAAAAATGGACTGAATGAATGCGTAAACGAAAAGGCTGAGTCCCCAATTTTCTATAAGAGTGTAGATATAAAAAAGTTCCTTCTTCGCTGACTTCCCTAGTCAGGAACTGTTGTTAATTCCAAAACGTTCAGTTCAGTTGCAGTTCGGATGTAGTTTCACCTCGCACTTTAGTCTGACTGAATTCAATCCATTTATCTTGATCTTATCGTATCTCGATCTTATCTCCAAGGACTTTTTCCCCATGTTTTCCTGTACATTCGCGGAAACAATCCTCTTACTTCTTGGAAGTAAAACTTGGGAATGTACGTCTTCTTATTCATGTTTTATTTGGTTGATCCATGGAATATATTTAATGTATTAAATGGTTATAAATAACGTTTTGGAAATATTATGCATTTGCTTTTACAAGAAAGAAAAGAAGGCTGCAAGAGATATTTGGAAATATTATGCAAGTCGGCAATTTTTCGTACTTTGCAGTTATGGGCGTGTATACCGTGGGCATTTCTTCTTGTGGGTGTTTTGTTTTCGGGGCACTGGTTATAGCCCTTGTCCTGCCTTGGAAAAAGGCCAATGGTCGGATGCAAAGTTGTGAGACATCTCCAAGGTCATGAGACAAAAAAGTCCTTCACGGAGAACGAAGCTATCTATACCACACAAGGACAGGTGAATCCATTCAGTCTCAGCTCGTCCAGTTCGCCTTCCACATCCTGCGTGACTACGCAGCCGAGTGCTTCTTCGCTTCTTCAAGTGCGTTGTCTGTTTTCGTAGAAGCGGCTGCATTATCCGTTCCTTAATGCATGTTTCACTCGGTTTTCTTTATTCTTATTTTATTTTATTCTACTTTTTTTTAAGAACTGTACTGCTTCGTAAGGGCATTGAAATTCTAGCAGCAGACTGAGAGGCAATTAGTTTCGATATATGATTGCATTAATAAGTACTCCGGTAGGTCTTAAGATTTTTCATTGCATGATATATGAAATGAAAATCTGGAAATCATCTTAGTAAAGAGCTAATTCCAAAAAAATTATTCTTCAGTGCAACTCACGTACGATTGGGTGAACGTTCATCCCTGAAACCACTCGCTCCACTAAGTTCAAGTAGTAACGAAGAACTTTCGGAGATCCAAATGCTATTGGCTATTAGAATTATTCTATCGTTGCCGACCACAAACTGCTTCGAAACCGAGTAAAAGCCCGGAGTAAAAGGAAAAGGAAGGGAAAAGGATAATATCAGGTCATCCCATAAGTAATGTCGTTTTTTTCTCTGTTTTTCAAAATTAAAATACACCTGCATCGCATCAAGTTTCAATCAAGTTTATGTTCCCCTTCGTTCTCTATGACCTATGACCGCCTCCAAGTGTCCAAGAAAAACGGAGCACTGTTACCTCGTGAAAACCTGCACGTATATTGACGACTAACCCCTGCACAGGTTAGCATAGAAATATTCCGTAGGATGTTCGCAGATACATGTATAAAGAAGACACAAGTAAGGCTATGCCAGAAAAACGACATTACTTATGGGATGACCTGATACGAGAAGGAATCGCATATTTGAAGAGATGTAAAACTGTTACCCACGGTGTTAAAAAAAAATCTATGCCAAATCTTTTTCGCTAATAGTGACGGTACCTTTCATCAGATCCACGCCAATTTCTTAAATAATATGCAAGCGAAGAAGCTAATTACCAAATTTTAAGAAAGTTGACGAATTGCACCATCGTCCTCTGCCAGTTCAAACTTAATGAGTAAAAAAGTGTGCCGTACAAGCTCGGTGATGCGTTCGCCTCAGCCAATGAAGCAAAGGGAGGTTTGTGCGTGCCGCATCAAAGAAACAGATGTGGTATTCCTATCCGTTCGTCACCTATTTTCATAGCGAAATTGTTGGCCGTTTCGAAGGATATTCAGGCCGGGTATTAGCCACACGTCTCGTTATCGAATTAAGCAACAAATGGAAAGCATGGCCTCCAAATCTTAGTTCCTTATTACGGTACACATCGCCTTCTGTCTTCTGTCGCACCAAAGGGCATGTACGGCACAGTTTTTCTAAATATTAAATAAATAAATAAACAAGTGTGAACTGGCAGAGAACGTGATCCAATACTCCAGTTTCCTTTAAATTAAGCAGATTCCTTTTCTACCATATTCACATGCAGTAACTTAAAAAATGCGTCGGTCTGATGAAAAAAATTACATTATTAGCGATAAAGATTTGGCACCTTTTTTTAATCGCTCCGTAGCATTGATTAAAACAATGGTGACCTTTTCCGACTTGCGGGCCAAATTGAAATTTCTGTTCGTGTTCGAGAGGTTCGAGGGCCTGGCCCTCGAACAACAATAGACAAAGGCTGCATATAAATATGGATCTTTAGAGAACGAAGGGGTCGCAAAAAAAGGTTTTTACTGGCCGCATGCGGCCCGCAGGTTGTGCATCACTGGAGTAAAGGGTTTCACATTTTGCGTTTTTTATGCGCCGCATGCGTCAATGCTTAGAAAGGCTGGTTAATGCACGCGTACTAACGCATATCCACTTACGTCAATGGGTTTTCGCAGAACACAAGATTGTATTCAAATGAACTCATTTCAATCCCACACGCTATCCTAACGTTTTGCGAAACTCTTGGTTGTTAGTGGATATGCGTTTGTCCCAGTCAGCTATTTATCCCTACGCCAAGGGTGGCTTATCTCCGAGTTTGCTTGTTGCAAGCATGGGCCAAGTACATCAGCCCACACTCGCTTCCATGGGCCATGGTTGACATGTGCATGGGCCCGTAGCGGATTTGTCCACGTTAACTGTGGCACCCTCATCAGTGGGCCAAGTACTGCTGTTATTGGTATAGCCCGTGCCCAATAATGATTCTGAAACGTGGATCGACGGGAGGCGTAAGATAATACAGGAATTGATGTACCAAGATTCAGGGGTAGATCCATTATTTTATGGTATATCAACAAATTCAATCCCTAACTTCCTCATTCCAACTTCAAGACGAAAACATCAAGGATTGAATATGCATATCCAATTAATGTGATTAAGACCTCGAATAAAATAATCATTTCTTAGCAATAGGTTCTCATCGTACATCGTCGTACATGAGTTTCTGTATGACATGAATCTCTATGAATATGGGGAGAAAAAATGATTAAATGCCGGAGTTTATTGATTCCTATAATGAGACTTGGCGAGACATATGGTAAGCTACTGAAGACACCTGTGAGGGAAGATTCCAGGGGAAGAAAGAAGTGTACTTTTGTTTACTGTGCGAAAAGCGAGACCCACAACTCCCTTTACTGGCATGAAGGAGAACTTCAACATTTCCCCAAAAACTTCTAACTGGAAAGTGTATCATAGGCACTGCACTTGTGCGTGAAACATCCGTGTCCGCCGAGTGTGGACGAAGTGTACAAGACATTCCCGAACCACAGGTAGTCTAACCACCGAAGGGTCACGGAAACGCCACAGCTAACGCAGATACGTCGATCTATGGCTACACACACGCTGCCGACTGGGATGACACGTGAATTGGAAAAGGCCTGTAAGTTAACAAGAATTATGAAAATAGACAACGACCATATTGTGCGAGACTAGGTCGCGTCAAGCTAAATTACAAGCGATGTTATACAGGCACGTGAATCAGCTAAACTCGACTATGAAAGGACTCTTGTCCACCGAGCGCGCGTGAAACAGGACAGATTAGATCGCTTTACTGTTACATCACCGAAATAACATCGATGAGCCCATCCCGTCCCGCCTAAAATCAAGGCCCGCCGGGGGCGGTCGGTTTGATTGGTCGGTTTCGTGATCAGCAGCCTCTCATTTCAAACAATTTTTGGTTGTAGAGTTCTAAGCAATGCTACGGCGTGCTGACTATCCAGTTTTTTTTTTTAGCAAGTCACGCGTTTCCATATGTCATCATGTTCTTTTTCTGCGTGGTTTCAGATGCTCAGCTCATTCAGCTTCATTATCCTTCCTCTGCTTACCTCGACCTACAATGTACTTCCGAGGACTCCCTTCCTAGGACTTCTTACGACAGATACAACAGAGGTTCCTGGAGATACAACCGAGATCCCTGGAGATACAACCAAGAACCTCGAGTGCGGTTCCTTCGATTCGGCCTTCCACCGCCCATCTTCCATCGCCTTTGCCTTCCATCGCCCGTCCAACGCATGTCTGCCGCTTTTGGTACAAACCGTCTGCCGAGAGAGAGAATGGCTCGTCTTGAACAGGGACACCAAGGAGCCAGAATGCGAAATCCGGCCTTGTGAGGAGTCCCAACTTCCCCTTTATTCCGATCCAGACATCTGCGTCCCCATCGACAACCCCGGAAAACACTGCGGTCTTAATCAGTTCCTGGTTGCGGATCGATTCGGTTTCGGGCATTGCGAGTGTAAAAACGAGCCAGGTTACATCTACTGGCCCCCAGACGGCAATTGTTACCGAGTGTTTCATCGAGGCCCCTGCGACCCCGGAAACATCTTCATCTTCGACAGCCGAAACAAAACCGCAGTCTGCAGAAGGAGTCCTTGCCGTGAAGGCAAGATCTACTGGCTCTCTCTCGGTCTATGCGTCTCAGAGGAAAACCCCACCCTCTGTCCTCGGAACATGCCCTTGACCTTAAGACGCCTTCCGGACGACCGATTCACCTTCGCTTGCGAGACCCAAATAGGAAAGCCCGAGGCCAGCATCGGCACATTCACTTTTCGGGATTGCTCACCCGGCAGCATAAGCGGGAGGATGGGCAAGTGCAAAGGCACGATCTCTTTGGATCTGTGTCCTCCAGGGAAAGAAGAAGACGCGTTCGGTGGATGCCGGGAATCTTTTGGCTGAAATTCCTTCAACCATTTCGAAAATCTCCCAGAAGTACTTGAAATTTGAAATTTCATTAATTCGCAATGGAATTTTTCCTGTGAATTTCATTTGTTTCTCTTCCCGTGACCTCGGGAATTCTAGTATTTCATTTTCGTCCCTTTACTGCTATTTCTTTTTTTCGTATTCCACATTTCTCTTTTGCATCATACCCCCCCCCCCCTCCTCTAACTTTTTCCTGTGTTGCTATTGCGACTCAGCGAGTTGCTGTTCTATTTCCGAAACGTATGTTGTAATTTCGTCGATTCATTAGAGGTGGGGGAGAATCTCATCACCAAGCAATAGGGTAATTACTAAAACTCAAACCTTTTTGCCGAATGCGTTACGTCTTTTAATGTTGCAAACACAACCAGTTCGATATGGTGTATTATGGTGTATTTTTTTTCACTTTTTCCACTTTACTTCCTTGGGCGTTATTGCATGACAATCGCTGGATCAAACTGATGAACTTCAATGTCGACAATTTTCAAGAGGGAAATTCTGCTCGAAGATCTAGCAAATCGCGCAAGATTCAAGTTCTGCATAACATTCTTTTTAATAAATAAAAAATTGATAAATGAATGGAAAAACCTTGCTGTTTGCCAGAGTGTCTTGGAATCCCAATTGGAATGTACTTCCACCACTGGCGCATCTCACATGAATACAAAAATTGCACGCACTTAGAACACTTGGTCGACTTTTAATTCTCTCGCCAAAAGCGCAAATTATTTCAGAGCCTTTCATTGTAATGACAGAAACCCCAACTTTAGCCGCAGTTACTTCAAGTTAACCCTTAAACGGAGGTTCATATGCTTTCTTCGAAATAATCTCATGTAATTGTTCTTAAGTATCTCTAGGGCGAGAATAAAAAAATACAAATTTTTTAGCTTTGGCGTCTGTCAGGCGGAAACGGAAGATCAGCGGAAAGGTCGCCAACTTAAAAGATACGGTGGCCATAGTTGCCTTCGCAACCCCACAAGAGGAACAAAAACCTGCACGCCGCTGGTCGAGATCAAGATGATATGGGTGAGTAAGACTGATTTCAAAACTGTAGTTCCGTCGCAGTTGTGTGGAAGCTCGGTTTCAGTTCGAGTTAGGATTTCCTTGTGATAGAGGACTTACTAGAACTTCAGTCAGACGAAATACTGATCTAAAATTTGAATTAATTACAATTGAACTGCATTTTTTAAATCAACGGTAGATGAAAGAGGATGGGCCTGGAAATGGAATAAAGAATTAGAGGAGAAAAGATATGGTGCCCATATCGTTTTCCCTCTCCCCCTATATTCCATCTGCTTGAATCTCAAGCAAAACAAATTTTACCTTTTCCCCTAACTTTTGCGTCTCGAAAACAAGACAATGGATGAATACGCAATTCTGAGTTTAGAACAAGAAAAGCCATGCAATGAATGTAAAGAAATACGCAAAAGGAGAATAGGTCGCAATGAGTCCAGTCCTGCATGAACATCTCGCGTGACTGAACGACCGAGTGCTGAAGCGCTTCTCAATGTGCGTTTGTGATTTTCATTAAAGTAGTTCTATTTTCCACTGAGTGATGCAAGCATAAACGAGGTATGGCGCTGGATGGAGATGGCAGTTGGAGATGGAGACAGTTTTGAAATCAGCCTTACTCACCCATATCATCTTGATCTCGACCAGCGGTGTGCAAATTTTTGCTCCTCTTGTGGGGTTGTGAAGGCAACTATGGCCACCGTATCTTTTAAGTCGGCGACCTATCCGCTGATCTTCCGTTTCCGCCTGACAGACGCCAAGGCTAAAAAATTTGTATTTTTTTATTCTCGCCCTAGAGATACTTAAGAACAATTACATGAGATTATTTCGAAGAGAGCATATGAACCTCCGTTTGAAGGCTAACTTGAAGTAACTGCGGCTAAAGTTGGGGTTTCTGTCATTTCAAGCATCCCAATGCAAGGCCCGGAAATAACTTGCACTTCTGGCGGGAGATTTAAAAGTCGACCAATTCATTGAATGCATATTCATGATTGCCTTTTGAATTAGGTCTCAAGATTATCATAGAATTAGGACTGAAATAAGGTTCGATGAATCATAGTGGTCAAAAGCAGGTTCACAAAGAAATTCTAACCCCTGCATTTCACACATGAATCGGCGAAATTCCACAGCTGAGATTTCTCACTCCACCAAGTTCAATCCGTAATTTAGGACTTTTGGGATCCTAAATTTCGCTGCTGCTAGAGTTGTTCTACGATCGCAAACTGCAATCCCCTGTCACACCAGAGACAAAGCCTGAGAAAATGCAACGCGATGCGAATAGACGAATCCAAGGGGGGATGCTAATTTCATGAGGTTTAAAATACGGTTTCTTAACAAGTGTGCAGAAACTATGAAAGTAGACGACCATCGGAAAGGGAGACAAATCATTACGTAAAACCTAGTCGTCGCAAGTTCGAACATAAGCAAAGCCATACAAGTGAATGACATAAACGGACCCATGAGACGGCTCCGATCCATCGATGACGTGTGACACATGAAATATGAAGGCACATCACTCCTTCATAGTCCTTCCTTTCATAGTCCCACCAAGGCCATCACATGGACCTTTTCCATGACTCGTCACAAATAAGTGCCACAGGGCGGCGATACCAAAGGTATCCAGTTCCAAGGTTTCCACTTGGTTCCGATCCTCGCAAAATGTCCATCACCATGGCAGCGTATAATTAGTTGTAATATATCCGAAAACATCTTGGATTGACAGGATTAGGATAATGTAATTCCTCAAGTGAATTAGAAGAGCAAGAATGCATCCTTCTTTTTTGATTCACTGGAAAATAGGACAGAAGAATGCTCGACTTTGCATCAGGAAATCTCCCCAGTGGATAAGCAATATCCTATTATCATTCTGAGTATGAAAAAGGGAAAAATATTGCCTCTCTAGATATAAAAAAAGTTCCTTCTTCGCTGACTTGCCTAGTCAGGAACTGTGGTTAATTCCAAAACGTTCAGTTCAGTTGCAGTTCGGATGTAGTTTCACTTCGCACTTTAGTCTGACTGAATTCAGTCCATGAAACATTTGCTTCAGCGGATTTGGCTTCTTCTCAACTATCAATGAACACCAGAGAATTTACTGAAGATTTTCCCGTTTCGCCATTGATTGAGTTGCGGCAGGGTGAAAACAATAGGGATGAGGAAGACTGATTTCAAAACCGCATTCCGGTTGCACTTCTATAAAAGTTGAGTTGCCGTTCAAGTTAGGATTTCCTTGTGATAGGTCAACAAAAGCACGGAAGAACTTCAGACAGGTCAAAGCATGAACAAAAATTATAACGGAACTGCAAGCGAAATGGCATTTCGAAATCAGCCTTAGTTGAAAGGTCTGGAGACGCAAGAACCTCCACAAATCCTCAACTCTCTTTCCCTCGAAGGACATCAAGGGATACACAATCTCAAAGTGCAAGAGGCGGAAAACGTCATACGTTGATCGTGGAGCATACATAAATGCGAATGAGTATACAAGTGGACATTCAGTTGCTTGGCGTCCAGTCTTCCACAGGCATCGCAGTGTGACTGCACGACCGAGTCATTCTTCGCTTCTCAATGTGCGTTTCTGATTTTCTTATAAGCTACTGGATTTTTCATCTTGATGCATGATTGACTCATGTTAATCAGGTAAATCGGAAAAATTATAATCCAACTATGCTATATGGAATATGAAGGAACATCACTCCCTCAACTTCGTTGTGCTTAGGTATCTAAGCAAGGGGAGAGATGTTCGATTCTGCGCATTCCCGTCGTTAAAAGTTTTCCCTTCATGGTTTCAGTTCCAGATGCATTCCTCATTCGGCGTATTTCTGCTTCATGTGATCGCCTCGATCTGCCATACACTCCCCGTGACTCCATCAGTTACGAACGAGATCCCCGCGTGCGATCCACTCCATGCATTCCACCGTCCGTCCAACCGATGTCAGCCGCTTTTGCAGGAAAGCGTCTGCAAAGGAGGCGAATGGCTCGTCTTGAACCGAAGCACCAAGGAACCAGAATGCCAAAACCGGACCTGTGACTTGTTCGAGCTTCCCCTTCATTCCGATCCGGACCTCTGTGTCCCTATCCTTTCACCCGGAGAACACTGCGGCCCGAACCAGATCCTTGTCGCAGATGAGTTCGGCCTCGGGAAATGTGAATGCGAATCCGAGAAAGGTCTCGTCTACTGGCCTCCAGACGAAACCTGTTATCGAGTGTTCAATCGTGGCCCCTGCGACCCGGGAAACGTCTTCCTCTTCGACAACCGAAACGGAACCGGCGTCTGCAAACCAAACCCCTGCCCCTCCGACCAGATCTACTGGCTCTCTCTCGGCGAATGCGTCTCACGGGGCGACCCCACCCTCTGCCCCTCCACCATGATAATGACGTTAGCCCGCCTCCCCGACCGACGATTCACCCTCACCTGCAAGCCATTCGACCTCGATGGTTCGCTCGGCCCCCTCAGCGTCTTCAACATCAATTGCAGACCCGGCAGCATCCTCGGGCCGGATGGTAATTGCAAAGAGACGATTCCTTTGAATCCGTGCCCGTCGGGGCAGGAAGCAGACCTGTTCGGCGGATGCCGGGAATCGTGAACTTAAATTCCTTCAACGATGTCAAGTATCTTCACGAAAATTCTTAAAATAATCTGCTAGTGCCGTGAAGTGACAAGGTGAACAAGGTCCTGTAAATATAAGTTATGGAGAGGTGAGATTTTGACCTCTGGCACTCTATTGCAATATCTTTTCTACATTCCCCCCCCCCCTTTTTCCTCAAAATTTATCTAAGCTCATTATTATTTAATATTTCTCAGTTGAGAAGAAAAATATACATTTTTCTCTTCTGCGACTGTCACAGGAAAGTATGTAAAAACTCGACAGACTCATTAGCAAATTAATAAATCTGGTGGGGACAATACCTCCCAACACGACGGTTAACTAGTCATGGTGCATAACCATAACCACGGTCTAGTTTCATCGTTGAAATCAGGAATAAAACTGGATAGTATGGATACTGAATGGTGTGGAAAACCGCATCCAAGGTTTCTATTCCGATCGGACTCTCGTAAGATACCAGAATCCAGATTCAGCAAATTCCATACTTTAAATTACTTGAAATGTCTCCCAACCCAGTCGGAACCCAATGGCAGTTGCCGCGGCCGATGTCGTCACTCTCGTTACGTCACGTTCCCT